TACAATTTGTGTGGGGGCTTTAACATATATAAACTGAAACAAAAGGGGACAATGATAAAAATGGAAAAAAGTAGAGTAGCTGATAACAAGGTTGATTCTCATTCATTCTATTCCAGGGGATGAGACCAACCAAGAGAGTGGAGTATTTGCTACCCATAGTGGGCTCTCATCCATGGTGGCACAGCACAATGGTGTGCGCTGTACAGTCATGAGACAGGCTCCAAGTTGCTTGCAACTAATGAAGCCTCAAGCTTCAAGTTGGATTTACATGAAAAATACATTCTGGTTGCTCCAGAGTGATCTCTATAATGGCATCCCTCTCAATCTCCTACATCTCAGTGTTCTCTTGATGGGAAAGGGTTATAGGTAGACAGGAGAACATAATGGCTGAAAAGTGCATCTCATTTTGGCTATGCTTATGGGAAGGGGTCTCCCACAAGGACATGCAAACTAACCCAGGAGCCTAGGGATGAATTCTTGTCAACCTGTAGTAACCTCTTTTGCTATGGGGGAGGAGTTATTAGTTTATATATTCAGGAGATCCTAGCAGGAATGGAGTCACCTGGGGACAGCTTAAATAGGTGCTTGTGACAGCATTCCAACCTACTGTTTACCTTAAGTCCTCAAATAAATGATTACTTGATTTATCCTATCATCAGTCCCCAGTTGGTATAGTAACAGCCAGGCTTCCTCTCCATTTAACTTTTAACAACAGGTTTCAAATCATTTTATTGTCTAAAATCACTTTAAGAAAAATCAGCCAAGTTTCTTAGTAGGAGAAACCACAGTCCCAAGGAAAGATAGGGCTTCTACCCTTCCCTAATCCAGAATTGAGAGGAGTCAAAGGATGGCCTGCCTCCACCTCCACATCTGACTATTTCTTAGGAAATATTCACATCACAGGAGACCTAGCCACACTGCCTCTTAATCATGGCTGGTGGCACTGAGGTGAACTGTGAGCCACCAATAACAAAGAGGCAGGAGACAAAAGGACCTTAGCAGCTAAAGTGAAGAGGGGTAAAAAGAAACCAACAGCACAATACAGAAATCCTGATCGACTCGAAACCCTTAAAAAGAACTGACAGATTCTGAACTCCTTATCTGTCAAAAATAAATAAACTGCAGCCAGTTGGGGGGCCACAGGGCATCCTCTACTCCAGAATAGTGATGATTATGTGGCACCCCATAAAATCTAGATGCTTCTAGAAGGGACAGGAATTTCTAGAGCGAACCCTTGCTGCCCAGCACATGAACTGATGTTTGCCAACTAAGTTCCCTAAGTTGCTGAAGCTACTATGGAAACTGGCAAGGAAACGAGGAATGCTATCTTGACACTATAGTGTACATAGTGATAAAACTATAGCACTAGTCTATCTGGAGGCCTGGCTCCCAGGCTTTAGAGATAAGGCTGCAGAGCTTTGGTGGCCTGTGCAGAGTGTACTGCTGGTACTAATTCCCGAAAATGTCACAGGCACCCCAAAGCCAAAGCAGAGAGGTCATCAAATCCCAGTATAAGAATTGCAACTTTGTGAAAATTGTCATATTCAGTTGGTTAAGTGAAGAGGAGAGAGAAATTATGTTTATTTTTTTCCTTATTATATAGTGTATTACAGAGCAAACTTTGTAGGTATAGGGGGTGATCCTAGAGTCCTGCTGTGTTGCTGTAGCATCAGTACTAGATTGTGAACCACACAGTCTGCAGTTCAAACCCACTAGTTGCTCATTTGAAATCCCATACCAACTTGACAGCACTTAAAAACAACAGCAATCCCTGAATTGATTCTGACTCATAACAAATTCCTATGACTGTAGAACTGCCCCACAGGGTTGGGCTGCTAACCTCAAGTACAGCAGTTTGAATCTACCAGCCACTCTATGGAAGAAAGATGAAGCTTTCTGCTCCCACAAACACTGACAGCCTCAGAAACCCTATACAGGGTCACCATAACTCAGAACTAACCCAGTGGTACACCACCACCACCAGACTGTATGCATCAGTGAAGAGTGACCTATCACTGCCCCAAAGTGGGATTTGCCTTCTTACTGCCAATAGGAATATCAAAAAGGACACATATGAAGCTACTAATCTTATAAAGAGATGAACCAATTTTAAAAAGTAATAAAACAACAACTGATAGGCTCAAGTGATAGGCTAAAAAAAACCCATTATTTTTAGGTAAGACGGCAGTTGGATGAGTCTTGGCAATATAAATAGGGTAATGGGAGTCATCTTGTGCTTTTGAAGACTTTCTGCTGTGGGGTATAGCAGACTATCAAAGTCAAATCAGTAGGAGTCACTGGGGAAACAGAAATGAAGACGGATGACCCTTTGCAGGCCTCTATCTCTGCTCTTTGATGTTGAGTAAACACTAAATCTTCTGTACATACCGCATCAAGAGGTCATATCTAAAGATTTCTGGAGGATGTACCGGAAGCCGTAGTCCATTAGGGGTGAAATGGTTATCTCAAAAGTGTCCTTTTAATAAGACACAGGCAGCAAGACTTTGTCCACACTCAGGTCTCAAATATTACCGGTATTTATACATGAAACCAAAGTCTCACTTCTGAATAGTAAACCTTTACCCAGAGTCAGTATGTTGCCATGAATAAAGTCAGTTCTGAAGAAGAAATTTCTGGGAATTCTTAGGTGTTGATTAGAAACAGAGTATCTAAAAAATAAGTAATAATTTTATTTCATATCATCAAATACTGTGTCCAGCATTGAAAATGGTGTGGGAAATGAGAGATCCAAGTGTTTTCCAGATAACAAAAGCTTGTCCCTATTGTTAGTGCTGACAAGTCGGTTCGATTTCTGACTGCTACAGACCCTGTACAGGCTTTCCTAGGAGTGACTAGTAGGTTTGAACTGCCAACCTTGCTGTTAGCAGGTAAGCAGTCCAGTGCTTACTCTACAGTTCGACACTACCCCTTAAAGTAGTGAAATCTTTTAACTAATTTTCTTATTGAAGTATCTCAAATGTAGTGCACATCCCCCAGGGTTATAAAACAGACTTTGTGTTAAAAAATGATACTTGGCCCTAGAGCAAGACAAATATTATAATCATGGCACTCACTGAAGTATGAAAATTACTTGCCTCCCTAAAATTTTAAATGTAAAATTTTCTTGTGTGTGAGCTTATGTGCTTTTTGGGGGGTGGAGGGGGATGGGGGGGATGTGTTTAGCTAAATTCTCAACCCACTGCCTTTGAGTCAATTCTGACTCATAGTGAGCCTGTATAAGGCTTTCAAGGCTGTACATCTTTATGGGAGCATAAAACCTCATCTTTCTCCCTCCAAGTGGTTAGCGGGTTTAAACTGCTGAATTAGTGGTGAGTGGTCCAGCGCTTATCTTAACAGTGCCACTGTTGTTGTTGTTGTTGTTAAGTGCCATCGAGTCGGGTCCGACCCATAGCGACCCTGTACAGGGTTTCCGAGGGTGTAAATCTTTACGGGAGTAGAAAGCCTCATCTTTCTCCTGCAGAGCGGCTGGTAGTTTCGAACCACTGACCTTAAGGTTTGCAGCCCGGTGCCACTAAGACTTCTTAAATTCTCAAAGGGGCCCAAAAAAGGCAAGGGACCACTGAAATGGACTGCCTTCACAGTGGGGAAGTAGCCTCTTCCCTAGACAAAGCCCAGGGTGTGTGATGTTCTAAGCATCCCTTTCGAGTATCCTGGGTGTTTCTGTTTCCTGCAGTCACTTCCCACCTACCCTGATACTGAAATGCTTTTGTGGGTTCATTCCATTTCTCTTGTCCTCCTACTGCGTTTCTTCCTCCTCGCTGTCATTTCTGACACTGCTCTTTTCCTGTCCTCTGGTATGAGGACAGGTATCACTTGCTTAAAAATCCGTGCAAACTTCTTCTGGTTGGCAGATCAGTCCTGTTCTCTTTTGATTTTCAGCATTCATTGCCAAGGTGATTTCTGCTCAACACTTACAATCTTTTCTAGTTACCTTTGGGTTTGGAGCTATTCTACAAAGTTGAGGATAAGAAATGCCTGATTTCTTAGTAACATTACTAAGAGTAAATTTCCCATAGTTTAATAAGGTGACATGAGAGTTTGACAGCTATCTCTTTCTCTTTTCTCTCTCTCTCCACACATACACACACATACTGATCAACCTATAGTCATACTGATCAACCTATAGTCTATAGACACCTATAAGAAAGTTGAGACGCTTTGTTTCTTTTCCAGTTTATGCAAGTATCTGAAATATCTGCAGCCCCAGCCTGAGCTGAGATTTGCAAGACACATTTAGAGCTTGCTCAGCATGTACTTTCCATCATGTTCTATAAATGGGATGCTGCTAAATGAGCCGTAATGAGAGACTAGAAGCAATGTTGCTGCCTCTTCTTTACTGGTAGATTATGACAGTGTGCAAAGTAAAAAGAAGGGAGACGAAGGAGGCAGGTGAGTCTCAGAATGCTGGACAATGTGATGTGCTTGAGGTGACAGAACCATAAAGAAGCACAGCACTTGCCCAGTACTGAGGAAGTACCACAGCTCAGTATCCTGAGGCATCAAACAAATGTTACAGTTGCTTTATCCCACCACAAAAGACAAGAGGTCCTAAAAATGCCCTAAAAACACTCCCATTTCTTAGTCATGGATACTGTTTTGTAGTAGGTAGGGTCGGGGTAAATAGCTGATTCACATTTTGCGGAACTAAAAGTGACAGTGCCATGGAAAACAGAGATAGAAACCAAAAGAGCCAGAAATAGCAGACCTCAGGTGTCACGAAAATACCTGAATTCAAAATGTATAAACATAAAGCATGCATGGAAATATCAGATCTCCAAAAACTGACACAAGTGAAAATATTAAAATAAAAAGATGAGCCATACATGTCCCATAAGTATAATAAGTAATAAGTCATAAGTAATAGTAGCAAGTGTTTGGTCCATCTCATTTCATAAACTGCTCAGTTGTCCTGTCTCTGTGGCAGTGTTATGGGTGTCCAAACTTGTGAGCACGATGAATGTGCCTGTCCAGTCCCTTACCTCATTGCAGTCGCTGGCTGTGACGTGTGAAGGCTGGGCTTCTTCGTTTAGTGGCTCAATCACTGTCACCTCTGCAAACTCCTCCACAGATTCTTGAAACTCAGGTAGGGACCGTCGTCCATAACGCTTCCCACCTCTAACATATTTGGGTTGAGCTTCTGGTGAGCAGTCTAGGCAAGGAGACAAGAGTCGAGGCCACATTACATGACAATCTCAGTTCTTAGTTGACACAGTCTCTTATACCTGGCTCAAAATAAACCGCCACCATTTGTCAGTTGTGGTGAAAGTGGGCGTATAGGAGCCATCAGGTCAGATGCAAAGCAGAGTTGCTAATTCTGAATGATTCCTAGCATCTGGAGTATGTATCTTTATATAAAGGAAGCTTTGCAAAAACAGCAGCAAGGGATTGGGTTTAAGTACAGATTTAAGAACTGGACAGAAGGGAGAGCTGTGTTTTTTCTTCTGTTTATTGGGCTGGGATTTTATGAAGAGAAGGGGTAAAGAGAGAAAGACAGAAGTATCAATAGCATACTTCTGGTGTGGCCCTGTGGATCAGCACTATGAGTGACAGATCAGCAGTTCAAACCTATCAGCTGCTCCTTGGAAACTGTATACAGGGTTGCTATGAATCAGAACCGACTCGATGGCACATAACAACAACAATAACAACTAACATGAAAGTCTTTGAAAATGATTAAAATACCAACCATTCCAGTGCTGTAAAGTTAGTGCCCATACAATCAGTCTGAAACACACCCTTCTCTTACCTGAATTAACTCCTTTGTTAACTACCCTCCTTTCTGATCTAACAAACAAGCAGGACGACAGAACAAAGAAACCAACCCAGTGGATTCCAAACAATTAATGACAGTAATCCCTTATATGAAGCCTGGCATCAAGATCTCATTATAAAATTAAAAGCTGGAGAATAAATAGCAAATGAGAAGAAACATTACGGGAAAAAAATGGCGTTTTGTTCTCTTCATGGGCTTCAGTGTTGCACAATAAAAAGGAATATGCAAACGAGAAGAGTCATCTCTTGACCTTAAAGAAAGGCATCATCAGCCTTTTAGCAAAAACGCCTCAAGGTCAATGTTTACCACCACCACCACCATCACCGCTGCCACAGCCACCACCACCAGCTACAAACTAACCTTTATCTACAGGGGGTAATTTTAAAGCAATAAAGTAAATACTTCACTCTATTCAAATGCCTTCTCAGAGATACTTTAGCAACTTGTAGAGTCTTAGGATAATAAAATATTCCATCAAAATACAAAAGACACAATGCCTTGAATTCAGTTGTCCATGCAGACATACTGCTTCTCTGAAGAACACAGTATGTGTTCTATCTGAGTACAACAATCTTAATGAGATATGTCTGAACTCAGATATGTAGATTTTTGGATGAGTTATGTACACTTTTCATCAAAACAGGGATAGTCGACCAGTCTAAAACTAAAGGAACCAAACCCTTCCTTTATTGTCACTGAAACCATCATACAGATGAGACAGTACTTTCCAGCTTCCCTGGGAGGACTGGTGACCCTGTTTGACTAACCACCCCTTCCCGAAAACACTCTTCCTCTGGGTACAAGCTCAGGCTTCACTACATTCACTAATGCAATCAAAAGAATTCTGAAAATGATCAGCAAAGCTCAGAGTGAAGTATTTATGCTAGCTATATAATTTCTAGCGATATTTATAGCCAGGTTTTAAAAAGTCCCAGCCAAGTTATTTTATTAGGTCTAGTGATTCTCTTACAGGAAGTGTTTAAGCATACAAAATTTATATTGAAAATCGCATGCATATTTAAAGGTACCTTTTATCAGAAGAGAGTGTGTCAGCTTGTGAGCATTCAGGAGCGGCCCAGACACCCGAGCTCCTTGTTGGCAGCTGACACCCACAGATGCTAGTCAGATAAAAGGCAATGTAGAATCATCCTTAATTTATGACATATTCTTAAATTTTTGTGGCAGACAACAAGATACACCATTAGTGACGAAGGGAGCTCAGAAAAGATTGAAAGCAGAAGTTAGAAACTCTAAAAATGGAACATGGATTTTCACAGTGTGAAAACAGAATCTGGCCTGGGGTGGCCATGGCAAAAGAACTTATAATGCAAGCTGCACTTTCTCAGAGGAGAAAATGTAGTGTGCGAAAAGCAGGGCTTAGAACTGGTCCTTCCCAGTTTAGCCATGGCCGACGCAGCAAAACTGGAACTGGCCTGAATTTTTAAAATTTGGGTAAATCATAAAAATAACCAGATCAGGAAAAATTGTGGGCTAAAGCCCTGGAATGGTAGATGAGGAAGAAGACTAGTGAGCCCTTTCAGGTTCCTGATGCAGGAGACTGGGTGACTGTCAGGACTCTGGAGAGTGACATTCAAAGTGGTGTGGTCGACTGCCATCTTTGAGCAGGGTACCACTGTTTCTAAGTCCATCAAGAGATTTGGTTGTTATGCAACATGCACACTAAAAATGAGATGGTTTTGTTTTCTAAAACACCATTTAAGTTTCTATCCAGGTGTGTCAGCCTGTAATTTTTCTGTTCTGGTACACTCACATTTTAGAAATTGGGGACCATTCCAGTTTTACTTCACTGGCCATGACTGAACCGGGAAGAATGAGTTTGAAGCCCAGGTGAAAAGTACCTCTCTTTAAAACTCCAATCTGATTTCATCTAAAACCCACCCAGGGAATGTAATGGTTATCTTGCTATTTGCTACTAAATATACCACAAAGTAAGGAGCTCTGGTAGCGTAGTGGTTATGAAAAGGGCTGCGAACTGCAAGATCAGCAGTTCGAAACTACCAGCTGTTCCACGGGAGAAAGATGAGGCTTTCTGCTCCTGTAAAGATTTACAGCCTTGGAAACCCTGTACAGGGTCGCTATGAGTTGAAACTGACCCCATAGCACATGACCACCACCCACCACCATACCACAAAGTATATGAAGCAGTGATGGATTTTAAACAGTGCATTTTCTCAACAATAGAAAGTAATATATTGTGAACCATAGGGGATTATATGGGGTGTTGGTTTATTTATTTGCTTATTTATTTTTGCACTGCCATAAACTTTTTTTTGTCTGTTTATAACCACCAATTTTGAGCACCTATCTTTCGCAGAATGGACATACATCACAAAGCCACATTAAACTGTATAATCTTGTTGGAATAAAGTCATTAATTAGGATACACAAAGGAAGTACAAGGCATTAAGCTTTCCTCATCATTACACTTCCAAAACCATCCAGGTGACCAAGGAATGAAGACCAATCACACCATTTATAATAGTGCTGCAGGATCAGCATGGGACTGCCAACCGCACGGTCAACAGTTCAAACCCACCAAGTGCTCCTCAGAAACCTTGTACAGGGTCACTATGAGTCGGAACTGACTCAATGGCACTTAACAACAACAACAACATTTATAAAAAGTCACCTCTTAGGCTTTCAGGTTGTCACATCCTTCTCCTACTTAGAGCATTTGCCCAAATAATAAGAGGGGAAGAAATACAGCAAAGATACAAAAGTCCAGATAGGACACTTGGGGTCAACAATCACTGTTTTTGTGAAGCATCTGAAAACTCGATGAGTCTCATTAAAAATCTTAGTCAGAGCTTCAGAAGTCAGTAGCAGCAGTCTACCAAAAGGGAGGCCACAGTGAGGATTCAAAGATGGTCTTGCACACCCAAATGAAAACTGCCTTACATCCCTTATCATGCCCACTGGAAAAGTGGCAAAAATGCAGACCTGGGCCAAACCTTATTTACTTTATGAGCACACCCAGATGTACCTTGCTTATTTCAGGGTTTCATTCTATCTATGCTAGGTAATATGAGGTTATTTAGTTTATTTCAAAATAAAATTGTTGACATCACATAGCTTCCTTTAATATATTCCAAGGTAACTTCTCCAATCATGTGCTCCAAGGAGGCAGAGGAAATGCCAGTGAAACAATTTAGGAGAACTGCCTCACCTCAGGTGTCTTAGTTCCTTGAAAGAAAGTGTGTTTATAATTCTACCTCTATTGTCAAGTTTCCAAGTCATTCTCCCTTCTTTCGTATTTTCCATTTCTCCTATTTGGCATCACTACAGAAGAATAAGGATGGGCTTTGAAGGAAAACAGAGGAGCCCAGACTGCCTAGAGGAGTCTCAGATACCGTCCCTAGAGAGCTTATTATAAAAATACCAATTAGAGCACAGTAGCTTTGAGGCACTTCTACCTGACCAAGCTTAGATGGCCTATGCTTTCTTCCACAAACCAAACACGTGGTTTGAATAGGAGAAAACAGAGAAACCTGGATTCGATCCCCTTAAGGTTGCTGGAGTAATACGGAAACAACTAACAGAGCCTGTTATAGAGCAAGTGGCCAAAAAAGAAAAAAAATTATAATTGGGATATTCAGAAGATGAAAAAAGCACACTGTTCCTTCCTTCCCTAGAAATTAAGCTAATTCTGAATTCTCAGAGACTTCACTGTTTACTCCACATCTCATCTGTCCCAAGATAATGGACCAGAATCAGAATGAATCACCAGACTTTAAACCAGAAGGTCTCATACCTATAAAGAAAACTGAAATACAATGCCAGGGAGAATGGTCACTTGGAAGGGAAAAGCTAGATGGGAAAATAACCAACACTTGAGTACCTACCCATTCTGCTCCCAGCTCTCTTCCCAAACACAGCTCCCCCAACTGCAGACTGAGCAGTACTTTGTACTCTAGCCACCTATGTGATACTGATCATTACCTCCAAGACTCACCTCTCCTAAACCTTCAGCATGGATGGCCAAAGGCTAAGTAAGCAGGAATCAGGAAGAAGCTGAAATAGCTACCCAGGAGCCTAAGTACTATCTTACAAAATCAAATGTTTTTTTTTTTCAGAAGTCACAAGCGTAGGACATGGAGTGAAGTGGCACCCATACCACATACACAGGATGGTAATGGAGATTCTCAAAGAGAACATCATTGAATACCTGCCATGGGCAGAGCATTATGTTGTACCTGTTAAGGATAAGTTGGATAGTTTGTCACTTTTTGATTCATACTTCTGGCTCCCCCAAATGACCTGAGGATACTTTCAAAAAAGAAGAAACTCCTGCTCTTATGGTGCTGATATTCTTATTTTGGAACTGCTTGTGAAGACCTTTGTTTCTGCTCCCCTTC